AACCCTTTTTTACTGCTTATTCCTACTTCTTTGCTGAATATTTTAGATTTCCTTACAGAGCAAATATATGAAAATACGATCGAAAAAAAGAAAAGAATCCCTTCGCCGTACAAAACGTACATGCTTCATTTTCAGAAAAAGGTAATAAAATGATTTTCATAGTCAGCCCGTATTTTTCTTTTTCTGTTTAATTTGCTCCTCTTGGGTTACACTTATTTCGTCTAGACGCTGTTGAAGTACTCCTGTGACTTCACTGGATCTGCTTTCATCGTCTTGGAGCCAGGCTTCCAGTTGGCAGGGCACACCTCACCGTGCTCCTCCACAAACTGGAATGCCTTCACGAGGCGGAGGACTTCCTCAACGTTGCGGCCCACCGGAAGGTCGTTGATGGTGATCTGCCTCAGGTTCTGCTTCGGGTCAATGATGAACAAGCCGCGGTATGACACACCCTCATCCTCCTTCAGCACACCGTATGCCTTCATGATCGACTTGGTCTTGTCTGCGATGATGGGGATCTCCATCTTGCCAAGACCTCCCTTCTTGCGCTCAACATTTGTCCATGCCAGGTGCGAGAACTCGCTGTCCATGGAGCATGCAATGACCTCACAGTTGATGCTTGTGAACTCCTTCACATGATCTGAGAACTGGCAGATCTCCGTGGGGCACACGAAGGTGAAGTCCAGGGGGTAGAAGAACAGCACCACCCACTTGCCCTTGTAAGAGGCGAGGTCCACCTTCTTGAAGGTTCCGTTCGGCATCAGCGCCACCTCATTGAAGTGGGGAGCTGGGTGGTTGAGCTTGGCTTCACCGCAGGACATGAGTTTGGTAGAATTGGATGTTTGTGTGTTTACTTGATTGTTTTTGTTTTCTAAGAGTAGTTTGTATTTTTAAACGCAATAGATAGGGGTGAACGAAAGGCATGTGTAGAAGAGCAGTACTAGAAGGAAAACAAAAAGAAAAAAAAAAGATCCCACACGAGCGATAATCGGTGCAACACCAATGTTGGACATAGAGAGTAGAAGACAGTCTGAAAAATCCCTATGTGTTCTCATCATTAAATACCACACAAGAAAACTACAGAAGCGGCGTGTTGCTGGTCTATCACACCCACTTACCATCCTTTCTAAGTGAGACGTAGTCAATTCCCCGCATCTGTGGCACGTGCGACGGTATATTCTCCTCCAACTCCATCGAGCGCAGATGCGGCATTTCCTGAGAGAGGGCGTAGCCAACCGAGTGTGGAAGTGGAGGCGGAGGGGGCACCGGTGGAGGTGCTATGTGATAGACTGCCCGTTCATCTGTCGAGCGCATCACCCATTCGATAAACCCCAGCACAGTAACGATATAAATAGCATGAAACTTTAGGCTCGCAAAGCGCGCCCCGCGAGCACCACGGATTCGGCGGTGGGCCTTGCTCTTCCACCACTTCTCCAGATGGACTAACATATAGTCCTGCCACCTGTTGTTGTGATAGTGGCTGCAAAAGATCAAAACAAATAAGAAAAAAAAAGAGAAGAGACACATTCACTCACTCTAATTTCGCACTGCTTATTTTTCTTTTGTTTTCGTCAGAAAAGCAGAGAGATCGGTAATGGTTTACAAAGAACCCCACCAAATTACACGAAAGAAAATAAAATCTCCAAGGAATTACGTCTTTGTGAATAAGTTTGTGTATCAGAAACAATAAAAAAACACCTGATAATAGACATACTGAAACCCTTAGCAACCCAATAAGAGATGCAGAGACTCTCAATGAACATTGTCAAAGATTCAGAGCATTATACCAAGAAGTGCATTTTCCGCACTGAGTTTCCACCAAAACCTTCCGTAATGTAAAAAATACACGGACGATGCAGCAATAAGAGAACATTCCTAGAATAAAATGTTTCACATGCGAGTCCCACAAATCATGTAGATCATACTTTGTCTATCAGAAAACAAAATTAGACTTATTAGTTGGGTACGACGTGATACATATGGGTTCGAGGAGGGAATCTCAGTTAAAACAAAATGGTAACCCTGAAAATCGTAGTACCAATAACGATACCCCAACACATCCCATAATGACAATTTCACCCATCAATGTCGACCAAAATAAAGAGTAGGAAAGGCAAAAATACCCCGCAACCACACTAAAACGAGGAAACAGCTGCACTCGAACAAACTTTTCCATTAATTACTCTAACAGTTAAATGAAACTCCCAACAA